TTGCAGACTCTAATGCTATAAATAGCAGGTTTCGATTACGGTGCTTAAAACAAATTTACAAGCATGCGGGAGATAAACCCCAAACTCTCTCTCTCCCTCTCTTCAAATGAAAGCAGTCCTTTGCAACAACACTTTCAAGAGCAGTAAAGACTCACAGTCTTTTCTAGGACTGAATCTCTTCAGCAAGTATCACATTTCCTAACGAGTAGGGCAGTTCTTGCAGGAGAAGTGATCCTCAGCCCAGCTGAGGGCTGTAACTTTCCACTGCCCAGCCTGCGCCTCATTGTGTGCCGCCAGGCCGGCCTGACCTTTCGGCAGCACAGCTCCTGCCTTTGTGCCGTGTTTATATGCATTCCAGCAGCCCTCCGCACTCCCTGGGCAAGGTTAAAACGGGGGGACGAGAAGGAGGAGAGACGACGGGATGAAAAGCAAGTGAAAGAATTTAAACAGGAGATGAAATCCGGAAATGAGGCAATCTGCTACACTGTTCCTGCTGCAGATAAATGAGGGACCGATCCTGTTTCCAGTGAAGTATGTGAGAGTTTTGTAGTTACTATAAAGCAAGGAGAATCAGGCTCTTAGCCAGTTTTGTCATGACTACAGGGTTTTAAGAGACACTGAGGAAAAAGCCTCCTTTCCGTCAAATCTTATCTAATTGGCGCATGCAGACCTGTAGTTGATTTTGCAAATTACACCCCTAAATGCAGAGCCTTATACTGCAGAGATGGACGTGTTTCAGATCCACACAGCCTTCTACATCATAGACCTCATGTACAAGTCCTTTTTTAATGACAATTTTGTAAGGAAGGATGCACTCATGTACTTCTCCCTTTCCTATCCCTTCCTACCACCAAATCTTCTCTTTTTATAAATGAAAAAATCCAACTCCCACTGCCTAGCCTGACATAGCCCAGGGGCAGTAGCCAGTGCCTGTCTGGCACTGCTACTAGCCCCACCACAGAGAGAGGAGGAGCCAGAAGAGGGGCAGAGCCATGGGAATAGCAGGACTGCGCTTGGTGTGTAAGCACCACGCAGAGCGCTTTGCTTTCAAGCCCCGAACAAGAGAAACAGTCAGACGTCTGCTTTCGACACGTGCTCAATCACTCTATTCTTTCTCACCCTTTACCTTTCTTTCTCCCATCCTTTAAAATAACAAGCCTTTCTCAAAGAGCTGAACCCTGTGCTAGGCTCCTTTTAGCTCCCAGATCAAGGTTATAAAACCCAAGAGCAGACTGAAGACTGACTCAGAGAAAGTTTGCTGGGCTTTAAATGGCAGCTGCATACTCCCTTCTGTCCTGAAAACACGGAAAGGGAAGGGGTGCCATACGGGCTGTGTGAGCAGCAACAGAAGCCACGTGAGGTCAAAAGAGGAGCTTGGGATCACCTTTTGTGACTGATGCGCAAAGCATGGCTGCACAGTCAATGTGGAAGTAGGCAGAAAAAACCGACTGATGGAAGTTTCACTCTGGGGAGGTCAGGGAAAAGATCAAGGCAGAGGAAGCACTTGATGTAGGATCTGGGGAGGCTATCCCAAGTCTGTCAGTCCCTAGAGGCTCAACTTTTGCAAAGCTTAACTTGAACGACAACAGTAATATAAGACGTTATACTACATTGCCTTGCCGTGTCCAATGATCTGCCTTGCACTGTGTTTTCAGATGCAAACGTAATCTAGAGTGATGAAATCACTAAGATTTCAGTCACTATAGTATATTATTTTACTCATGGGGAACTATGGAGACTTCTTGCAATCTGAGGTTCTAGTGTCCTTTTTCTGGTCAAATAGAGTTCCCTCAGGATGAACACCACCTGCGAAAGCCCAGAGTCACTGTGTGTGCAGTGAAGTCACTAGCCAGAACAATTTTGCTAGCAATTAGAGTGATCCACAAAAATGAATGGACTCTTCCTGAAATAAATGATTTCTATACAACCAAGGACCACGCTCTTGTATTCGTAAGAGAAATCAAAGGCAAATGAGGATGTCTAAATCTTTTTGATGCCCCTTTCCTCAAAGGGGCCCAGTGCTTAACTATTAAGCATTGCATCATCACGTAGAGAATTTGAAACATAGGTCCTAGCTTCGTCCTTAGCTGCATACCGGCTGGAAATATTGCTGTAGCACCCCATGCAACGTACAGAACAAAGCTATTTGCTACAAGCCTCTTCCAGGAGACATATATGGCATGGGAGAAGGGACTGTGCCCAGCATATATTTGCTGATCTGGTTGACAGCTTCAAGAAGGGAATGAAGAACTAGACCAGTCCTAGATATGTACAGCCCATATGATGTGAAGCTGCACAGAATACGTAAGTCTCACATAATGAGACTTATGGAGACAGTCTCTTGAGGATACTCGTATGTCAGTACAACCTTCAGGGCAGCCTGTAATAGATAAGATTTCCCAGGAAGCCTTCTCAAAATTATTCAAGTCTCTCTGCAAAAACAAACCAAACTGCCTTGATTTTAAAGACTTGCCTCCTCATGAACTTTCTGCATATAGACAGTTCTATGCCGATTAGGATTAGGAATATGTGGATTTGTTTCTAGTTTTTAAGCAAGAAGAGCTTGAACCTAAAGCAAACTCAAGTAAGTAAGTAACAAACTGTTGTTTGTTGGTAAGTAAATTTAAGATAACATTCTGTTTAACCTTAGTTTTTACCTTGGTGCCTGTCCCTGCGTTACTACAGAAATGTAGTTTTCCTAAAACAGATTTGTCAGAAACAAGTAGCAAAGTTTATCAATCCTTTTTCCTGATTTTACTGATCATCTGAGGCTCTGTAGTCTCAGGAGGTCTAGCAGTCTCACAGTTCGATTCCACTCTAAGGGCCTATTTTTCTCACTGATAGTAATTTCTAAGACTGATTCTTAGCTTATCATTAGTACTATCCCACCATCTCTTCTTCTAAAATACATTTAGCTTGTCTGTCTTCTAATCTCATGACCGAATGATAGAAGGTATTAAGGTTCATTATATTTGGTTCTTCATAGTCTTCTGCAGTATCTTAGAGTTGGTCTTCATCATGCCATTCCTTTATGATGCCTCCCCAACACAAAATAAAATAGTGCACTGAATACTCCAGGTCAGGAGTTAGTTGTTGCTGCTTCTTTTCTTGTGTCAGACGGGAGAAAGTCTGCTATGCACCACGAACCCTTCTGCAGATGCTTTTACAAAAACGGTGGACCTTGGGACCTCGCTCTAGGAATTAATGAGAACCTGCTAGCTCTTGTCTCACAAAGGAAGCCTGTCTAGTGGAAGACACTTACCCCTTTGCTAAAAGGGGGAAAGGAAGACTGAAACAAACAAACAAAAAATCATCATAAAAACAAATGCTGGAGGCAGTGTTAAAAGTGAAAATAAATATGATACAGAAGAAATGTATTTACCAAATTGTCTTGAAATGGATGTACTTGCTAGAAACATCCTACCTATGTAGTTATTCAGTGTTCAAGCAGTGCAACTCCGTCAGCACCCGTAGACTGGAAGGACCCCAGACACTGTACTGCAGAGAAAAGGTTATCAGCCAGCGCTGACAGCAGGCTACGTCATGGTTTCATTTCATTCCTTTCCAGTCACATTGCAGACTCGAAATAAAAATTAGTCAACAAGGCTTTGAAGATAGGCCCAGGAAGAAGGACCACAGGAAGATGCCCACAGGAAGATGGACTGTCTCTCTTTATTCCTGGAATTACTAAAAGATGGTCTAAAGATATAATCTGCTTGAACTCCTGGCTTCTCTATTAGTACAGAAAGCACCATCATTCCACCTGCTACGCTGGGGACACGTGCAGGACAACCATGCTTCGCACATGCACAGCCCACACAGTAAGGTGCTGAGGCATTTCACTCAAAAGGAAACGTGTTATGACCAATGCTGTATTAAAGAACCTTGCAAATACATGTTTAGATATACACATAGCACGTGTAAGCTCTGTGGGAGTTTTGCCAATTACATCAATGACAGCAGGACCAAACAAACGTGCAGGAAGAGAAACCACTTTTGTAAATAGGAAGAAAAACCAAAATGGCTAGTGAAAAAGCACTCTACATCTGAAATGAATTAACTGCAAACGAGGTGAGCAGTAAATAATAGTTCCTATTACCTAAAGGGTCTTTCCTTGCAATGAATAGGTGCTTGTGCAAAGTAAATTTGTGGATATTTGTCATCTGCAGAAATAGACCGAGTTGCAAACCCTTTGGAAATACAGGCAGCACGATCCTTGTATAAATGTATCATTAAAAGAAAATCACTGTTTTTTCAATAACTGTTATGCAGTTGCGTGTGCAAGGTAATGTTTGTATAAACCTGCATTTCAGACCGTCTAGAGTTGTTCCCACCCGAATTTCAGGAGGTCACAGACAAAGCTGTTTTAATATATTAGAGAAGATAAAAGTTGGCTTCAAAATTAAGCAGTTTCAAACCTGCCAAAAGTAAAGGAGTATTCTTTTCTTCCAGCAACACAAAGCCAATGGCGTTCCTGCCCAAAACAGCTGTCTATAATACTTCCCACTGTAGTGGATCTAAGCCAAAGTCATAGCCTTTTACATATTTCAAAAAATGTAGCAGCATTAAGAAAAGTCATTAAAGAGGGGATAGGAAGGAAGTAGGAATTAGGAGCTTCTTTTGGTTTCGATGATGAAAAAGCAAGATGTGCCAGAGTTCATCTAACCAGTTTGTGCTATCTAGAGAAAGACCACTGATAATCATTAATAAGAAACAAGGAAGCTACATTTAGTTAACATGGCAATCTCCTAAAAGGAGCATTTATGCCCCCAAAAAAAAAATCGTAGCAAATTCAGGCAGACTTTGAAGGGAAACATATAAGGAAAAATTTGAAAAGTCCACACAGAAATAGAAACAGAATGTTGTAACCAGACTGATTTTTAAATGAGTTAGATGGACAATTACATTCTTCACCTGAAAGAGCAATTGCTTTGGTCATAATAGCTATAACATGGCAATAACTATTTGTTCATGAAAATTCAGGTCAACTGAGCACTTACTGCAGTTCATTTTCCCAGGCATAACAATCAGTCACGAAGCAGCAAAGAATAATTTGGGCATCCGCCTGCAAGTATAAGAAAAATAAACTTGAAATAAACTTGAGCATTTTCCTAATAGCTTTCTTTCACTGTATTTAACAGCGAAAATCCTGTCCTTCTGAAATCAATATTACTTTTGTTTAAATTGGTATTTAAATTTAAAGGGTTATTTAAAACATCAAACTGTTTACTGTTTTAGTTTCTGTATCCGGAATTATAGCAGGTAGCTTTTCAATGTGTGTGCATCTAGATATTTCCAGATTAACCCAAACTTAAAGGATTTGAAGGTCCTAATACCCCTGAGAAAACTTTCCATATCATGTCCAATTGGATAACCAGCTGTAAGCACGTACCAAAAATAGCTCAAAAATATATTATTAGCTATTTATACAGTGCTTTTCATCAACAAATCTCAAAGCCCTTTGCAAAGGAGGCAAATACCCATCTTGCAGACACGGAAAACTGAAGCGATGTGAGGGGAAGCGATTTACTAGAAATAGACCCTAAGCCTTCTTATTTCTAGGCCAGTTGTCTATCCCGTAGGCTGCACTTCATCTGAAATTAAGTCCTTGATCATGTAACTGAGGGAAGTATATGGACCCCTGAACGTGATACTGAAGTATATATAATCTTCTTAGAGTGCATAAAGACTTTCTCATTAATACGTTCTTGGATTTACTTTGGTATAGAAAAACCATAACCAGAGGGACATTGCAGCATTTGTGGATCCACTGTTTATACCCTCGAGAGATGAATAAGTAAAAAGTAACAATGAAACACACAAAGCTCATTGCAGGACAGTATTTATAATCAGAACGTGTATAAAATTGTACACAAGTGATAATACTGATTCTGAAACAACTAATAATTGAATATGGAATCTCTAACACCTGGACTTTATACAAATCAGAGAAAATACAATAGCTTATTATTAGCTTGTAGGATACAAAGACGTTTCAGATAAAAGGTCTTATGTAAGACTGCACAGTGTTGTATTGAAGTTCACCCCACATTAGCATCTTCTTTACTCCACGCTTAACACCAAAATAAACATCAGAGCAAATATGGGTGAATGCATTTTTTTTAATAATCTTTATAAGTAAAGGTAATAATGGGATATGTCGTAATTACAAATTATTATATAAAAGTATGACTCCATCTAACGTGTCTGGATGAACTGCGTTCATATTCAGAGCACAGTTTATACCATCAACTTTGCCTGTTAAGTTCTATTAAAAGATGTAAACACGACTGACCTACCTGGAAGGAATGTTTCTGGACTCTATCAAAATGAGGCTAAAAAGTAGTCGGTGAGCAGGGGTGCAAAAAGGTTGAATGTATTGGTTTGCACACTTTATTAGTATACTTTTAAGCATTAGTTAGCACTTAATACGGATAAGATAAAACAAACAAAAAATATGCTAGCTATTTGTGGTGAGTTTGTTTCTTTTTCACACTGTATACTTCAGTAAAAGTTACTCACTATTCAGCCTTTGAGCTGAAATGCAGATCCTATCCAGACCAGTAGATGGCACAAACCATTTATTTCACTATATTCATTACAATATTACTGTAATGTCACAGAAGCACAGAATCATCTATGATCTTCAAAATAAAGTTATTATACATCCCTTTTTTCAATCCTAATGGCAGTCAACCCTAAGACATTAAAATCTTTAAATGACAAGACACACATATACAAATTACTAGCTACTTCTAAAAATCACTTGAAAATTACATAATATATATGCAACTAAACAAGTACTCCATTATATACATGCATGACTCGCTATTGACAACAAAACTAGTAAACAAATAGAGTCTAGGTTTTATGGATGTTGCATATTTGTAACAACTGGTAATTATCTTAAATATCAAGTTACAACTTGCTCAACACTTTGCAAAAGATGAACAGAAAGTAAAAAAGCCCTATGGTGATGGGTGTGCAAAAGTAGTATTAGGAAATACATCTGTGGCAGAAAGTTAATTTCATCAGGCAGGCTCTGTGACGAAAAGCAAGCAACTAATATAATCACCTATATTATAATCTCCTATAATCACAAACACCAAGAAACAACTGTAACAGGTGCTAAAATACCTTGTGCCTTAGAAAAAGAAACTTCAGAAGGCTTGCATAGAAATGATACAGACCAAAGTAAACTGATAACGTGGAAGAAAGAGACAATTTATTTTAGAACTAGGATTTAAACTAAACAAAAAATAGCCACATCTTATATTAAAAAAACCTCTCTAAGCGTATTTGACAAGTAAGGATTAAGAGCTCTAAATATGTCTAAAGCAAAAATCTGACACCTTATAAACTATCATGCAATCGAGACTATGAAATCCACATCGTTTCAGTGCTGAGTCAAACTTTGACTTTTCATCAAACCAGGATTTTTAAATGTAGTATCACTTTTGAATTCTGCATTCATTACTTTATAACTATTAGGATCTAGCTCTGCCAAGAAGTGCAGACACATTCTTTCCTGAAAAGATTTTCCACACTTGTTCTCGAAATATTAAAGAGTTGTTGGTCTAAAAATAGTGTGCAAATTATACTATACATACAATATCTGAATCTAGTTAACTTATTGAGGTATTTTACTAAACACGAAATCACACGGAAACCAAGGGGATAATTATTTTAGACAGGAAAATTTGAAAATGCAGGTGAAACTATTCTTAACCTTTACCTATGTGTGAAGCAGTACTGTAAGAGACTGATCCAGTGTCTAACAGAATCAACAGGCTGTAAATACGAAAAACGGCACCATTTTTAGAATTGAACCAGTTCACCTACAGACATACTTCTGAGGATACTTCTATATAAATCATTCATGACAGAGTCAAGCATGGGATACCAGGCTAAAGAGAGGACCTTTCTAAAGAAAAAAAAAAAATCAATGTTTTGAAATAAAAACAAGGTGTATTCTAAAGAATACACATTTCTGAACATATATTAGTTGTTTGCCTTGCTTTTATAAACATATGTGGGAAAGCCTTAGATCTTACAAAAAAGAACAAAGGAAGAGAATCACAAATACAAGGGTGGGGAAATACATCTCTCATCTTCTGTAAAGCATGAAGCTTGCTCTCATACAATTTTGACAAAACGCCCAGAATATTAGAGGAAGAACCACCAGGCTATCAGGTTCCATTTTCTAAGCTGCAAAGATAACCTATAGCTACTTAATTATAGGACCTAATGATACTTAATTTTATATTTTCAAATAAATATCATGACATCGTATCACTTTACAGGGCATACCACTTAGCTTTATAGCAGCTACTTACCATGGAAGTGCGTGTTAAGTGCTATGCAAGCCCAGAGTAAATTGTGCTCGTATCTGTTGGGCAAATTGCAGCTTAAAAACATGAAAAAAATTGTAAATAATGGGGAGATGCATGGCTTAACTTTTAATAGCAAGTAATTTAGCAAATAATTATGGAAAAGAAAAAAGCAGCCTGGTCTAATGGGCAAGAATATACAAGCAAGAGTATTTTGCCACACTGGGCCAAGAACACCCGAACCAAAACGCTAGTAAGGGTCTCTTGGTTTTTCCTCTAACCCAATAAAGTACAAGCTGACACAGCACAGGTAGTGCTGGCCCCTCCCACCTCTCATTAGATCTAGTGATCATGTACTGAGTCAGTTCAATAGGTTGATCGGAAGGAAAACTTACTGTTTTTGGCAGATTCGTTTTCTACTGAACCAATCCACCTTGTGCTACATGCTTGCTAGATCCAATGCAAGGAGAAGAGAGGGAACATGCAGCCAGCAGGGGAAGAGGTGGGTGTGGGGGAGGGAGCTGCCTTTCTCACCAAACCCCAGTTACACCATGTTAGGTATAAAGTCAAACTAATAACTGATTAAGAGGTAGGACAATTTAGTCTAGGACATCCAGCAAGAGAATATTTTGATGGAAACGTTTAGTATCTTACACACAAGAATATATATCACAGATAACATTTTCTCATTGCTGCCAATAAATCATGTTTGAGTAACCAAATGACTCAATGAAACTTAATGCTACGTTTCCAAAGCAATACTATGACATCACTTCATTTTACAGGACAAATATCTTCTTTTTATTGCAGCCATGCAGCTCAAGACAGATCTCTGAACTGTTTGCTTTAATTTCTGCGCAGCTCAGATATGCATACAGCATTTGCAGAATAAAGCAGAGGGCAGTAATCTAGTCAACAGTCATAAAAAAAAAAACTGTCCCACTTGTCACTCACAACCCTCAGGCTGCGGCTCTAAATTCACTGACACCAGATTACCTGGCCATACATATTTGACCTCACAGGCGTATGACTTTCTGTTCAATTAGCTTGAACACGTGATGCGGTGTTTATGCTGGCTGCAGGAGGACATGCTATGCCTGAATCAGCATAGCAAAATTTTAATAATGCATTTGACATGGCAGGGTGAACTTGAATAGAGCAGTGCTTAGCATCATGCGACCGCTCTGTTTTGACTCAGTCCTAGGTGCACTAAAATCAGATTTATTGTCCTGTGGAACCACGGTTCATTCAAAGCCCCCTCTCAGAGCTGGCTGTAGGCCAGCACATGTTGCTTGACAGCACCTTTGGAAAGTCATACGCATTACGGCTGACTGACCACAGTAGCTCATGCAAAGTAACGGTCCTTAGTGAAGATATTCCAGAGGACTTGGCTTATCCATCGATGTAACAGAGGGCATGTTATGCTTGCTCTTGCTCCCCCGATGTCTGAAAATACACTACATCCTCCTTTTTCTTGTGCCTAGCTCTATGGAAATGGAGATTGATGCTTTGCTCCTGTCACAGTATAGAGAAGTAGTGGTGGTGGTGAACACACTTTACGTGTCCCTCCCAGGCTCACAGCTCTTCCCCCCCCCCCCCCTTTCATCTTCCTGCCATCTTCTCAGCTCTCTATCATCTTAAAACTCAAAATAAAGGAAGCACAGACCTCACAGTGGACAGATGTTCACTTGAGGACTAAACCATTGAAATGCAACTGTTCTACGGAACAAGGTGCTCCTCCTCTGGAGGACTGGTTTGCTGAGGAAGACAATGAAGGCAACTTTCACAACTTTGCTCTTCCTATAAAGGGCCAAGGAGGGAGTCACGGGACAGAGACCAGAAAGTTAACAGGAAGTTGAAATAGATGCCTGTGTCCAGTGCATGCGAGTCTACTCCTGACTGTACCTGTTCCAGTTGAAAAGGCTATTCTGGCTCCAGGACAACCTAAATTGCTGCTACAATCAACCACCATGTCAAAGTTACCCATGGAACACTTGTATGATTTCTCTGCAACCTATTTCAGCTAAAATGAATTGTGCTGGTGCATACCTGCTACTGAATTTGCTTAGGCTAATCCAACTCATTTTAATTTAAATGGTTTAGAGAATGATCATAGAAAAAACTTACCCAGCAGTTCTGAAAAAGCCGTAACAGGACTAGTAATCTCTTCAATTGATACGTAGGAGTACTGATAGTCATTCGTAGTAGAAACTGGGCATGTGTAAATGCACCACGGACGGTCCCTGCACTTGCAGTCAACATAGAAGAGAAAATGCGTTCAGATTGAGTAAACCGTCAATGTCTCACTCTAAAGAAGAGAAAGATGAAGTTACCTAGTGTTGAGATTTCACTTCCAGCGAGGCATCCTGTCAGCGATAACTTCTTGATGTGACAGAAAACAGAGCACTGAAAAATAAACAGACTTGATGCCTTTAGGAGTTAAGTAAAGGAAAAGCAGTGGACGTTTCTCAGGTGACTGCACCAACAAGAGATCTCCTATAACACGGATGCTAAAATTTGCAGAGGCAAACAAAAGCAAAAGAAATCAAAACATATTGTAATTTAACTGTGGATAGGGCTATGAGTCTTTGGCAAGCTGACCTTTAAATCAGGAGGCACACATAGGTACATAAAGCACATAATGAAGGAAGCACATACAAATATACAGACAGACAGAAGCACGGACAGCCTTGCCACAGTTAGCTACCAAGAGAGAAATCCCAGCCCAAATAAAGTCAAGGGAAATTATGTTTCAGTTCTAGTGGTACCATAACCTCAGTTTGGGTGTGAATTCCATTAGGACCAGATCACTTCTCAGCTAGCTTGTTTTTGCTCTGGAACTTCTGGGGCAAGAAGACTCAGAGGATTTCTCTTGAGGTTAAATGCTCTATGCTCTGGATGTAGCAACACCTTTGCTAAGCCTATGCTGATTATAGTCCCAAATTTAGAGGACAGGCTTGGAATTTTGTGGAACTGTACCCTGACATTGGATATCTTGACAAAAAGTCCTGAACTTAAAACATCAACATATATTAATATATATAAACACTGCATCTTAACTTCAAAGACAGAGCAATTTCCACATCTCCACATGCCACCAAGAGATTTTTTTCATTTTATTTTATTTTAACACAAGGAGAAGAATTGGAAGAGAGCTGTTCACAGTTCAAATTCCGTAGTCTGTACGAAAGAAGGAAAAAATGTTGGATCAGAAACAGGCCAAAAAGACTACCTCAGCAGGAGACAGGAGGAGGATCAACAAGTGAAATTACTCTTTGACAATGAGTATTGCTGAGATGGAAACCACAGAGTACTGGCTGACAAAAAGAATAATGACAATTAAAGTCACATGTGTTTTAGATACAAGATGCTGGAGTAGACTGATTTATCCCAGCTGAATAGCAAAATCCCCTTGTTACTGGCTGCTTCCTTACAAACCTGGTTGAAAAGCCCCCTCCAGACTATAGAAACGCTACATATTAATGTTTGGTGGAAAGTTTTCATCTAGTACAATTACATAACTGCTAGCCTCCCAGAACTTCAGTAAAAATATCTGTTTTAATAGAGGAAATATGAACCGCATTATGAAAAGTTAATCAAAAAATAGCTATTCTAGGCAACTACATAGATGTGGGTCTTGTAAGACCTTAGAGGTTCCCTCTCCCAAAATTGACAGAAATAGAAGGCATATTGAGGCTTGCAGATTGGTCAGTAGAAAGCTCCAAGGACTTTCTAAGGTCCTCAATAATTTCATTTTCTGAAGGGACAACAGACAATTTATTGTTGTGGAAAATATAGTTTCCCCAGGTAAGGGGCTACTACTCAAAGAATGATTATCAACTAGAGGGTTTTTCACTCGTCAGGGAAGTGAAATAAATGCCATACTTAAGTATTTTAGCAACCCTTGCCACTAAGACAATTTATTGTCTGAAAACAAAGAACTTCAATATGAAATTAATTAACTCAATAGATAAATACAATCTCCAGAGGTTTTCCTCTGCTTACCCCTGCCAATACCCACCCCCCGCATAAGAAAAACAGAACAAAACAGGCTCACTTGCAGCTTTATCTCTGAAGTTTTGCTTATTTTGAATGCCTTTCAAGGCTGCTATCCCACCTGTTATCAAAGTGGTCCTGTAGCTAAGATGTTTGACTTCAAAACTCCAGGTCTAAAGTATTTCTTCTGGAAATGTGGGCAGGTCAAAGTCCACAGACCCCTCAACTCCCACTCTGCATGAATGTTCTTTCCTGCATTATTTTCTGGCCTACTTAGTCACCTTTTGGGGATAGGGTCTGTTTTTGGCTGTGCGTGGGTTACATCATGCCTTCAACCACAAGGTCCTAAAAGTGGTTGCAGCTTCTATCATAATAAAAATAACTAAAAACTATAACTCAGAGGTGGAAACACTGTTTTATTCTTTTTCTCCTGTGGGAGCTACTGGGATGCTACAATTAACCTCAATTAATAAGGATAAACTTTATACAAAGAATATGCTGTTCAGGTGTTCTTAATGGGAACAGCATTTGACACTGTTTAATCTTTCTGCTGTTAAAGCAACAGGGAGCACCTGACTTTTCACCTCATATTTGTCTGATGATCACCGGGATGAGCACAGAACCTGCTACTGTCACCAGCTCTGCCCTGTCTGGGGATGAGATGTGCCCGTTCAGTGAGGTTACTGCACCACCGGTATTGTTCGGCTCCTGGCTTGTCTTACAACATAGTATAAACCCCTGTCACGAAGCCGCAAACACATGAATGCATCATGTGTTTGATGCATCAATCATAGCACTAGATGTAAGGGAAGAACTGGCCTTTCCTTTATGAAGGGAAAGGCAGGAATCTATTTCTTCCTTCCACAGCAGTGGAGAAGTGTGTTCCTTCCGCACCACAGCTCATCAGAACGGTTACAACAAAGAAAGCTAAGTTTCTGCAAACCTTACCTTAGATCGTGATGTAACAATGATTTCATTGCTCTAGCTACTCCTTCCTCCTGTTACAATAAGAAATATTCAGATGGGCAACTTGCAATCTGCCTACAAAATTGGTGGAACTGATGGTGGGGGGAAAGGGGGAATCAGTTTCACTATAATCATGAAGATAAAAATAGGGAAAAATGATTAAACCCTCCAGTATAGAACTATCTCCTATATAGTTTCTATTGTACTGACTTAAGATTTACATTTGCAAGTTATGAGATTTCCTTCATTTCCCTCAAGATATTTTACATCCCACTCACAGGAACTATTTCCTATCGGTTTTCTTAGTGCCATCTCAGTTCTCCTAGTAACCGCCTGTAAACTATGCAAAAAATGGCTCTCCATGCATGCTATTTGCATCAGTTCTGTAACTCTCTTAGACAAGCAATATTTGCCAATGCAGTCCAATCAATGTCATTCTTCCAGGCTGCTAATCATTTTTGTTGGCTTCTTTTGAGTTAAGATTTCATTTACCAAAGAATTTTTTAAAAAAATGATGTTGCCTAAAACAGAATATATCACAGTGCGCTGTAGGAAAAAAAAAAATGTCCTCTTGTGAAATCAAAGGATTTGAATTTTGACTTTTGAATTTTATTTTATTTTTTAAGTAAGAACTTCCCTGTGCATCTGAAATTACTTTCTTTGTACTTGTATGTAATTTAGGTTTTTAGCTGCATATTTCTGCAGGGAGTTACATCGCATGGCAAGACGTTTAGTTAGCACAGTGTAAAAAAGGGAAGGCACACATCACTACCTGATCAGAATATTCCCATCTAACCCAAAGAGGCAAGTATAGTATGAATTCTGAATAAGAGTTCTGGAAACGTAAGAATTTGAATGAGAAAAAGCTTCCTCACCAACAAGATACATTTAGCTATCTTATTTCCCCCTGAACGTTTTGTATTCTGAAGCTGTAGCTTCATGTACAGTTTAAGTCAGTATAAACCTGTGCTTCTGCTGAAGGACGGAGTTCTATCATCCCATTTATTCCTTATTACATATCCGTCCCTACCGGCACAAATTTTGTACAGTCACACAATGAACTATATCCAGGTTAAAACTACTCACTGCACTTTGCCAGGCTAGCTTTCAGTGCTGGCTTAAACAGGCTTGAAGTGTGTGTGAAACTATGGCCTCATTAATCAGCAAATTTTACCTAATTACCAGAAGTCACAAGGGATGAGCCTGCTATTGTAACATTTCACAGCTCCCATTCGCAAACTTTATGGGTTGTGATCTCCCCTTTCATCAAGCTTGTGACCCAAATATTAGCATATATGATCAAATTCCTATTGCCCTTGAGATCCAGTTGGTATTTGCAGTGGTCCCCAGCTCACAGATTACTGCTACGCTGCATAGTCGAAGGTCAAAAATTGTTTAGAATAGTGGTTTCAGAAGCTTGTCTTCTACAGTTAGATGTACTTCTTTCTACTATTCCTTCTGCCCCACAGCAGGAAACTGGAGGTGCAAATCAACTTTTTCTTTGACTCTTTAGACTGATTTCCCTCAGATAAAAGTAGCTGTTTAGTGCAGATCTTTTGCCCTCACCATTTCAGTTCCCAGCTTTTTTTTTTTTTTTTTTTTCCCCTTCTTAAACCACTGCAGGTCCCAGTAAATTTCTTAATAAAAATCTCTTGCCTGGTTCCACAGACTTTGCCTTTACACGCACCATGTTCTACATGGTATTAGGAGATGGAAGAAAATGCAGTATCAGGCAGAGCCGATTAAAAGAAAACCTCCCCCTTAATTCACTTCCAAGGCAGTTCCCTCGCCCCCAATGCAAACATTGCATGTTTCAGCCCATGAGATGTCTTGGTTTCTCACTTTGAAAGTCTGTTCCATTCAGGACTTCAGAAAACGGAATTATTTTGCTCCAGCTAAATTAGATAAGTTGATTTGTGTCTCTGTAACAAACTATTAACATCTCAAATACAGCATATTGGAGGGAAGAGCAGCTTGGCTTCTGGATTACTTCTGAAATCACATAGAGCTTCTAAAAGCTCTTTTCACTAACCCAACAGAGAGCGAGGCTAACAATACCACAACATTCTCTTCTTCAGCAGTTTACATTAGCCTTTTTTCTCCAAGAGATCAACTAAACTATTTTTAAAGATTATACTTATTTAGAGTAGATGAAACATTTTATTCTTTCCATTCTCAATTTCCATGAAAAAGTCCATGATTTCCCTTGTGTTCTCTGTGTGTAGTCTAGACTATCATAATAGATTTGACTATTTTTATTACATAACTTGGAAAAATAGGCTCTCATAGAATTCTGCTCTGAATAAGATAGAACAACGTGGGGCTTAAAAAAAAATTACGAATTCCTCTACTGGTTTGTTTTCAAAGGTGACTTTTTCAGTTTAGAAAAGCTGAAACCCTAAGTATATTGTAGATGTTACTGTGCTTGGCACACTCTATAAGGGACATTTTTTTTCCCCCCCTACGCTTCCTCTTATGCATAAGGAAGCGGTGGGACTCCTATGTGAGGAAACCCAAAATTTGGCCTTAAGTCATTATTCCATATGATAGGAAAATGATCATCCCAAACTAATGCTAAACAGAGTTTACAGTCACTGATTCACTATACCGTCTGATAAACAGAAGTGTCAAAGCTATATGTTCTGCTAGTTAAACCAGTTAAATTTTGAAGCCTAAATACTTTTTTCCGCTCTTTCTCATTATTTACTCCTATAGGCAGGACACACTTCACAGCTGAGGCGCTGAGGGATTAGTTGTAGCAAATATTTTTAGAGGAATTTTGTTGCATTCATGGCTGCAACGCTGATCTTGCTTATTTTATTTACTGAAAAAGCATTCCTCACTGTGCCTCTGAACGAGACAGAAGAGACAGGCAGACTTACATGATATACAGTATTTCTGTATTTGGAGCGAGTAAAGTACCTTTATTTTACACTACTCCTGATGCTAGGGTGACTAGCACAACTCAGTCTTCTGGACTACTACTCTGTACTGTTTTACATTGGGAAAGGATATAAAACTTGCTTGTTAATGGTAAATGTTAAAGGAAACAGATTCCTCCTAAAGGTTTATCGGTCGTACTTGGGTGACTGATTGAACATCACACATAGAATGTTCTTCTGCCATTTAGGTTTAAGAAGCTAATGTATTAGAATAATGTTAATATTTCAGTGTGTTATAGGCTAATCATTTTCACAACAGAAACAGTATCAAGCTGGGGTGTGTATCTATATTGCAAATACAGGAGGCATCTATTTATTTTTAATTACAAATTATATGCAATATCTGTATCAAACCAGGAGAGCTCATTAACCAAAAATCAGTATAAAAATAATCTTCATTATCCTGCCAATAGCGATAAACTTGTTAGGCTGAATCAGAAAAAACAATTTTCAACCTCCCTATTTCCTGCAACCTTAAAGCTAGCGATTTACAATATAAAGCAAGTATGTAAATCTAACCAGAGGAAAAGAGTAATTTTATTTCATGTACATTGTCCTAGAAATTTTTTTTCAGTCTTCTAGTCTGTATGCTGGCCTACAAAATAAAGCTAAGACTTAGAACCCCAAATCCTTTTGCATCTACAATCTAGGACATATTAGACGGATAAGGGTTTAAGGCTAATTGCTGTTAGGTGACACCTAGCTAAATCATACTGCATTCTTTTCCCTCAGCCAAAGTCACAAATGCCAGTACTTCAGTTTTATTTTATAACCCGCTCTCCGAAATAAATTGTGAAACATGTTGGTCAGGAAAGTCAGCCTTCCATAAAACCCTGGAAGGAAAAGAGAATCACAAAAGAGACCCTATGAACACACCAGTTTTCAACTAGGTTTGTAATGAGGTCAAAATAGGTAAAGGTACACTGAGTTTGCATCCACGTAACACTGTCAAACTGTGCTAACTTAGGCTTTCATTCCAATCCAGACAGCTTGCTGTAATACTTGCAAGGAAACATATGCTCCCAATTACCAATTTTCTCTGTGCAGGCATCTCTTAAGACCCACATTTCCAAAGTCAATTGAGACTTAAGTCCCTGGTGAAAGAAACCATCCAGCCATCTTTCCTGCAGTCCCATAAGGAAAGTAAAATTATAAAAGCCCCGTTCATCACCATGTATAAGCTGGTCATCTGTACCTCCTGGCACCTTCTTTGCGTATTTCATTTTGTGAAATACCTGTGTAGCTATTTTGACATGATGCCTTCTTACACGGAGATGAGAAGTGAAAATTAACAACTTCTGACATGGAAGGGGTCACACTGTCATCACCTTTCTAAGTGTGGTGACCTCAGTCCCAAAAGGAAAGCGTGGCTGCTTCTGTAGTACTGTAACAATACTGCAATATTGTTAACCACACACAGAACAGAATTCATGCAGTGTCTATTTCTCTTTAATTCATTCTTTGAAGGACTCGGACACTCTTCTTGCCCTGCCAACCACCTTTAACCAACACCATTTGTCAGTCACATGGCAAGCTTTGCCAAACTTTGTTCCCAAGGTTTCTGAAAGACTGTCTTTCTTCTTATAGAGACACAACAATATAAGACTGGTTTAAAGTAGGATTTTTCCCATTATTTGGGTGAAAATAATCAATCTGAAAGCAAGTGCTGGACGTAGCCAGTACCCGGATACTAGGACAGTCAATGGAGGAACCTAATCTGCCAGTCCACCCAGCAGAACTCTATATAATTGTACCTTAATTGTACTTAGATGCTTAAAGAACTTGCAGGGACACTCCCCTCCAATAAAGCTGTCCAGAGGATTCCCACAACACAGAAAGAGTCCTAATGATATTTTAAAAAAGAGTTTAAGTCCTGCTTTTCCCTTCAGGCTAGAAAAGGCCAGCCACAAAAGAAGATGACCAGAGGCTAAGTTTAGGCATAGGTATGACAGAAGAAAGCACCTTTTCAAAAATATAGCTTGCCAAAGGCTGAACATTAATCTGCAGTGGACTGAAAAAAAAAAAGATCAGATTTCAGTTCAATGAGAAGACAGTAAAGCTCACAAAAGAAAAACGTCTCTAGATCAAGGAGTTCATTGTGAAATGCAAGCTGGAAAAAACGGAAAGCTTTAATGAATTGGACCAAGATTATTTACACATTAACCATTTACAGCTGATATGTTCAGGAAGATATAAGGCTGTCTTCAAAATACAAATTTTGCAAAGAGCTTTAATTGGGAGATTTACTTCACCACAGAGAGTTATTTGCCTAAATAGAGAGTAGGAGTTTCCTGCACGTTGTTTTTCCATATCCCTTCTCCAAGAAGAGCCCATGAAGTGACTTGGTTTCTACCCCTTCCCTTGGAATGTTAATCAATCAAGTTAAATTCATGCATATTTCAGTGGTATATATAGTTTTTCCTGCTAGATCATTAATGGATTCTTCTATTGCAAGAGAAAAAAAAAAAACTTTTGTGCTAAAAGAATAAAATATTTCCTATCAGACAGGTATTCAAGATGCACCTTGATTCAATAACCACTCCTGTATATTCTATTATTTCTAGGACACAGTTATTTCTAGGAGAAAGAAGATAAGGAGAAACATGAGGAAAAAAAATAGAACTTTTCAGCTGAGGTTGATCTACAAAGAATTGGAAGACATACTGCTTCTGTCCAACAAGAAAATGACATTGCCAAATTGTTCAATGAAATCCAACATCAGCCGTTTTCCAAAATGAGCAAGCTAGAGAAACTTGTTTTGAAATGAAAGTAGTGTTCATCACTTGGGGAGCGTATTTTAATTTCACAGGCTATTAAATATACAGAACTAGGAAAGTGTCCCAACATAAGAAGAGACAAGTTGTTAGCTAGTATTGTACCAGCTGTATGTATGATACTATGGAAAGTATAGACAATGCATTTAAAACATTTTGAACTCTGTCCAGTAGAGTTTAGAATTTAAGCTCACTTATAACGCTTACTGTGACTGGAATGAGCTGAGCCAAAATTACACAGCAACCTCTCCTAGAGAGATATCCTGTATTTTATCCTCACACTGATGGGCTTATAAACTGGGTTTATAAATTTGATATTGGTTATCGTGAAGATGACATCCACCATGGTCACATTAGCATGTTTGCATTCATATTCCATGATAAAGAATATCAGTTACAGAAGGATGCTAGAGACTGACTGCTGTTCTAGAAGGGGTGCTATTGTATTTGCTGATGTAAAACATTTGAGACATCCCTTCATCTCTGTGGACAGTTCAATCAGATTAATGACTGAACTACATGTATGGTGAAACTTAAGGAGATAACTGGAAGAAAGGTTAGCTGAGAGAGATGAAAAATTAGTATTATGAGATCATTAACCACCATTAACCATTAACCACCACCATTAACTAGAAAGACAGTAGCGTAAAAATTGTAAACTTTCCAAGCAAAGTTCAGCAATATCATATACCCACTGATATCATACAGAGGATGTAGAGCTTTACCTGTCCCCCAGAATATCAAGATTTTACTGAACAGACATTGCAATCTGAAGTTATATTACTTGTTAGAGGAAAAAGATTTCTGTCTCAAAAATTAAAAATATTAGACAAGAGCAGGTAGTACCCCAAATCAAAACGTTATCACAATTAAGTACTAGTAGTTCCTTCTTAAATAGAAAGCGAACTTAAGTGACAGAAAATTGCCCAGAGAACGATGTAGTTAACTTTAGTGTCTTGGAAAGTTTATTGGGTAGAGTTAATAATCTATGCATTGCCTGTTATAGCACTGAATGTTATGGACTATTTTATCTCAGATTTCTGAACTGCCTTTACAGTTCGATTCTTATTTTAGAACACAAATCCTACTAACTATCTTTTACTAATCCTTAAGGTGCTTTACATAAGTTGGAATAAGATAAACCAAAAGGCAAGACTATGAAATGACATCCAAAGTACAGATATGAGGCAAGAAAACTTTAATGCTAGTGAACACTTCAAGCTTAACAGATCCGTTCTAACAGAAGGGTGACAACTTTGGGCTCACCTCCTTAAAACATTTGTACGAACGTAGCTTTATAGTAGTCACTGTGTTATCAGGACTCTGTCCCGAGACATACACCTCTCAGAATTAACAGCAGTTTTTTGCTATGGTTCACAGGTGCGGATGAGAGAGTCTTTCTCAGAGCTTAGCCTGTTGAAACTTAGGAAGGTTCATCACATTTTAGTGGTTCTTGAAGAATTCAGACAATTTAGATAAAGATTCATTTCTCTCTTAAGCTAGTGAGCATTGTACTACATATAGGCATTCTTTGTGTATTATATGCATTATTGCTGTACTTACCTAATTTACATACCGAATTCCATTGTTAAGGTTTCCAGCAAGTATTTCTTAAACTCACTTATTTAAAGGACTTGACTTTGGTAGGGGGCAAGTTTCTTGAGGTTCCTTCATCTTCTGATCACCTTTTGGCATCAGCTCTATTTGCACGGATATGGAAAGATCTGGCTAGGAAAAGGAATTCTAGTATCAGTGAAACAACACTAAAATTACAGCTTAAAAAGACCAATCCCAAATCTACAAGTGCAGAATTTTTCCCTTGTAATATACTTCCTAGTGTTCTGTTTGGCTTGATCTTAAAGATAAATGTTTATGAATTTGTACCTACTGTGAAAAATTATTTTGCAATTTTATAAATTTAATGATTATTCCCTTACAGTTATTTATGTATGTATATTTAAAAAAAAAAATTCAATAGTTGTTACAGTTCATACCTTTAGGAAATCTACTGATGAATACGTTCCTACCTGCTTTTTGCTCTGGCGTACGGTACCTATTTCTTTCCTATACATTCTCTTTGTAAGAAAGTTGCAATTACTGCTCTTCACTGAAATTGTGCTCATCTGTTTCCAACATACTGATAACGATATTCTCAGGCTTAACTATAATATTCTGTGAGTGGTGTCATCAAAATTACATTAAGGCGGCCACTAACCTGCTGCTCTTCAAAGTGATGCCTCCAGATACTTCCTAATTATACGGTCCTTTACTTTGCTCTGTCACTAAGCAAAGGCGCATCTAATCTGCAGTCCACTTTCTACTCTGGCTATTACTACTTTCCAAATTTTTCCTTTCATTAAACCCATTCTTTTTCCAAGGATATATCAGTTCACCTTTTTCCTTCTCCTTTCAGTTGGATTCAATTTCCTGTCTATTTCCAGGATTTCTAGATTGTTGTGTTATTTCTTCCTATGCAATGTTTGCAACACCTTGTAACTAAACATCATCTGCAAATACCATTAATATAATCTTTACCACCTTCCTGAAATCATTGATCTGGGACATTCATCAGGACAGAAGTTTTCTTCTATACAGGAATAAATTAAACTAAATGCAAAATTAGTTCAGCCATACTTAGACATTGAAGTTAGAGTCTCTGAAGAATAAATACCTACAATAGAAGCTCTCTCAAAAGAAAAAACATAACTTAAGTTAAATAAAAACAACAGCAGATGCTCAAGACAAAAGCTTAGGCAGGACTAGTTCTGTAGTTCTGTCATTTCTGGAATGACATAAGAGTGCAAGGACAGAACAAATTCCCTGTATTGCTTTCATTAACCAGAGATCTATCACCTCAAAAATCATAGAACTACACTGGATGTCTGCATGAGAAAGAGGGGACTACAAGGCCACCCAACATCTTTCCCAGCTCTTGAGAGGAAATTTTTGCAAGGGATACAGTATGGTCAAGTAAGAACTTTCCGGCCATCCTCCTACCCCCAAAGTTAATGGTTTTGGGCAAGGACCTTTACAAGAACTATATGGAGGTCAAAGGTGCCTGAACCTATTTGCAGTGACACTAATGACATTAATGGATTTAGTTGCGTGTTGCTCAGACATCCTTGGAAATTTATAACCGGCAATTTCCTCTGAACTCCTCATTCCCTTCACTTCAGCCTCACTCAATACCTGCCCTATCCTTTCCTTTGCCTCATTTCCCTTAGCTGTCCTTTTGCTTTCCTGGTCTTTCTGCTTCCTGCACCAAATAAAGAAATTATGATACTAACTTGGTGGGTTTTTCCCCTTATTTGTGTGGCTTCTCCTGCTTTTTGTCTGCCTTTAGAACACCAGTCTTCCCAGACATGCACTACCTAATGCTAGTACACTGCCTAGTCCCGCTTCTGACAAGCCTCAAGACACCACCTAATTAAGCATTATTCACAAATAAGAACTTCTACTACTTTATCACTCACAGAACTTCCACAAAATGCACAGGAAAAGCATTCAAAAAACCAAAAAGCTGTCAACACTAAATGCATGATTGCGTAAGACAGACAAGGAAGGAAGAGTGCTATGAAGCTCTCCAGCTTCAGGGTGAAAGCTAATAAAAGCTAACTTCTTGCCAGTCCACATCATCTTTTATTATCTGAGAGTCTCAAACCGCAGCGCCCCATCCCTTCACCCAGGAAGGGTACATGTAGAGATTAGACCAGCATTCAAACTATGGTAGCTGCCACAGATTATGGGGCCTTTGTAAATATGTGCTCGTAATCTGTTTGCTCTTCACTTAATTCTACCTATGTATTTTCCACGCCCCCACCGAGGCTGGTAATTTTCACAGAAGACTAAAATTTCCTCAGGAAAGTTAAAATACCCACTCCCTGAAGTTTCTAGAGAGGTGGTTACATGCTACAACATGAGATTACTTCCACAAACTCTACTTTTTTGTATAGAAAAGCTAAAACTAAATATTCTCACTAATTTTCAACTTCATTCTCACTGTGTTATGCAGTTCTTCTGCGTGTGGAATATCATCAGTCATTCGGGCATATATTGACAGATAGATGAAAACCAGCTCAGAGTGCTCAAGTCTGAGACAGTATAGTAACAACGCTCAATCTTTGTGAAGGAGCAGCATATTAGATCTGTAAACGCTCCTCCAATATGGCTCCATCATATGGTATGTGCTAGTGAGGTAAAAGACAGCTATTAATTTCAGCCTCTACTACTCTTATTGGTTAGAGAACGTTCCTGACAATATTTATTAAAATAAAAATTAATCAGTGACGTACGTCAAAAGAGAAAAATACTTTTAATCCTATCAGGAGTTAAATTATGTTCAAAGAGACCAAAATTTGGCAACATCACGTCACATATTTGGGAAAAATTATATACACTAATATAGATCTCTGAATGCAAAACAAGCCTCTTCAAATCACTCATTTTTCCTGTTGTAAAAAACACTAATTCATTTTCATGATGCAGGTAGCTCTCTGTTGAGAATTTAATTGAGATATCTATTCTTACCTCAGGCTCATTTGAAAGCTAAACATAGGAAGAGTCACATAACAGCTAATGATGTCACCTCAAAAGTGAAAGCTATCCAACAGGTACTGAAATCCAAACAAATTTTGCCACTGATTTCAGCAAGGCCTAAATATCAAACTGAACATATGAAAAAGGAGCAGATGGACAAGGAACAATGGTAGCAAAACAGCAAGCACAAGCCTGCTTGTGACAGCTACTGATAGTACGTATGTTAGAAAGAAGTCTTGAAACTCGGATATATTTGTCCTGTTAAAATAGCTACTGCTTATATGACTGTCCTCAACTTCTGAACCAGCCGTTGCCTACCTCCTTACAGAAGGGGAACGACAAAAATATTCTCTCTCTTCTCATACTACAGCATCTTCAGCCACAGCCTGCATAAAAGGAGGAGGGGCCATTTCTACCACAAAGCTTAAAACATATTATTTGAGATGAGCAGAGTCAAAGTTACCGCATCCTACTACAGAGCAGTTGGTAACTCT